GTCCAGATGAACACCGAGGTACAGTATTTATATTCCTCAACCATCTCCACTTCTTTTCCCATGATGGAAACAGGGTTTGATCTAGCACTATTTCTCCTGAAATCTACAATCATCTCATTTTGTTTTATTCACATTCGAGATGAGATGATTGTTCCCTCACCATGTCACAAAGCAGTCCACCAGCTCTCTGTACTCAGCTTCCTGTCCATCAACTGCAGAGTCATCTGAGTATTTCTGTAGATGACAGCAGTCTGACTTGTGCTGGAAGTCTGAAGTGTACAGTGTGAACAGGAATGGTGAGAGTACAGTTCCCTGTGGTGCTCCTGTGCTGCTGACCACATGGTTAGACACACAGTCCTTCAGTCTCACAAATTGTGGTCTGTTTGTCAGGTAGTAGGTTGTTAAATCAAGAAATTAGTTCCCCCTATTAGTGCGTTAGGGGAACTGTGCCCACCACTGGGACTAAGTATATTTGATAGCACATCACTTGAAAAATGACCAGAKTGTCTCTTTAATTATTATTATTTTAAGACAATTTATACAGTATATCAAATCAGTCTAAGCATATCATAACATATAGCTTAGTTGAAGTGACTAATCCACGTTTTTTTTTAATCTTTAAGTGAACATTTTTAAATTCTGTATTTTATGTGAGCACTGACACAAACGGTAGTTTATTGTTATCTGAGAAGCAGWTTTGGTGAAATATCTTCTGTTGCTCAAATAACCCCTCTTTCCCTTCAGGCTTTTAGTTAATAAAGCGCTTCACAGTCTGCGTCACGTGCCGCCGGCTGCCCCACGACGCCTCGCGGAGGTGCACAGGTCGATCCTCCGCCTCTCCGTCTGTCTCCTCCCAGCAGCGTCCCCCGCTGCCTCCGCCGCCGCGGCCACACCTGCATCAAACCGGGGAAGTCCGTTCGTGCGAGCGGCCGGAGAGGAGAGACACCGGGTGGAGGGCTGCGGACAGATCCGAGGCAGCCGAACACAGCCACAGCGGCTCGGGTGGCACAGGATCCAAACGGCGGCGGAGGACTGCACCGAGGCYCGGCTGGGACTTCGCTCCGGGGCTGAGGCGCGCATGAAGGAGAACAGGAAACATCCAGACTGGCTGAAAGCGCGCAGGTGAGACGCGTTGGAGAATAAAGCTGCTCTGATGAAACTTTTATCTTTCAATCAKACAAAGTTTAATTAATGTTTCATTTGGATAGTTTTAAGTTTGTATACAGAAATTCCCTTCATAATAACCTAATTATATCTGCTTGTATCCTGCTATTATTATTATAGTACTGAGATTATAAACTTGAAACCTCCACTGTTCATATAATGTGTGTGTTGTCATTTACCTGTTTCTTTTATCTTTATATTTTTAAGTTGAGAGAAAAAACAGTCAAATAGATTATGGCTGCTTCTTTTGATCTTCAAAGTCATCCAAAATGCCGTTAATAAGAAGCAGCCTGCACTGTTTGTGCCTCAGTAGTAAACATTATTTATCCATTATGACACCATCTAAATGATGTTGCATTAGACCCTAATGGGTAAAAAAAGACTGGTTTATTTAAAGCCGTAATTGGTTCCCTTAGCAAATGTTTTGGACCTGAATGTGGCTGAATATAAAACCTTATCTGACATGAGTCAGCGTAACATTAACCACATCCAATTTAAATGCAGTTTAAAGGAGCAAGTGTTAGGAATCTGATTCTGGTGCCACTTTTCCATTAATTATMTTTATGTTCTGGGCTTTTCCATTAAATGGAATCTTTTTTTTTTTTAATGTTTTGTTTTGTTTCCAGTAAAAACAAGGAAGTAGAACATGTATCACACCCTAACCTTTGCACTGGCAGGAAGGCCTGCAGCCACCAGGAGGTCCCTGAAAAACACAGTCAATCATCACTTCACAAGGCTGCTGCTGTCATATCACGTTTGCGGCATCGTGGAAAGTCCATAAAGTACACACAAAAGAAGTGTTATTGAAGCTGTATTCAATATTGCAATTGGGAGGGATCGATACAGCGCGCATGGGGACGACCCTGATGTGCTGCGCRGTTATAGATCTGCAGCAACGTCGGCCACAGATGAATCCTGACGGGGCAGATGAACCGGGTCACATGCTGTCACTCTCACTCTAATAAAAAAACACTTTCAAGAATCCTTTCAGATGAGGTCTGAACACTTAAAAACAAGTCAGGCTGAAAACAACATGTGATAGACCTCGTTAAGAAAGAGCCTGAAGTCAACACGGGGAGCAGGATGAAAGAAGGAGAACAGACTGAGTTGGTAATTGAATCTGTTGTGGTGGAAGGATGGACGGCACACATACATAACAGAAGTAAGGAGTGGTTCGAAATCCTAAATGTCCGTGAGACATTTATTTTAAGTTTGCAATAAGTGCATGTACACAGTCACGCAGCTGCGGTGATTCTTGCAGCTGTTGGTGCGGTAGAGGCTGAACTCAACACATACAACACACTGAGTGGCACCTTTGCTTAAAACCTTGACTGTAACTGCTGGCATCAACCCTTTCTGTCAGAAAACGGTTAATAAATTTACAACTCACCAGTGGTGGGCAAGCGCTAATCCAAAATTTAGCTCAGCAATTTCTAAAGCGCTTATGAAAATATTTAGGTCCGCAACTTCAAACGCACTTATGCCATAGAAATACTAGCAGAAGCTAATTTTAAAGCACAAGTTCAATTTGACGCTTACTAGCTGGCAACAGTTCATGTACGACATATACACAATACTGCCAACTAGCGGTGAATGAACTCTTTTACAACTTAATCCTACAACTGCCGATTGCTGGGGATGTGATTTCCTGAAACAGACCTTTAGCGCCTGGTGCAAAAATTAAAAAGTTGTTGAGGATTGCTAGTTCGGCTGCTTCTTTGTCTTTTTCTTTTGTTGTAGATTTTTCATTAAAGCATCAATAAAGTAATTTTAAAACTGTTTATTGGAAAACTGAAGCGATGCATTCTGGGTACATGACGGATTTGATTTGTGATGGGAAACGAAGCATGGAGTACAGGAAACTATCTTTCCTTCAAAATAAGAGCTTGGATTTTAAAGTTTTCCATGTWGTTGCTCCAGTTGACCACTAGATGTCAGTCTTCATCAGCATAACATCTTTATATCATTTCTGAGTCTCTAACCCCGTTGGTCAATTGCTTTGACCAATTACTTCATAAACTGAGCTCCAGCGTTTAAATTTTTTTTTTTAAAAAGGAGCTCCGATTGTAAAGTAAAATAAATCAATACATACAAAATTTTAGTATGGATAACAAACGTTAACTGTTTTTGCTATTGCCTTCCTGCTACGTAAGCAGACACAAAGCATTGTGGGAAATCAGAACCATGACCCAAAGCAACAGTCAGCAAGGATGTATACCTTCACAATAAGTGTGTTTATCTGGGAGGGGTGCTGTTGGACAGATCACATGTGTTGTGATTCATTGACAGCCATACCTTCCGCTGTTCAAGATAATGATGACTGGTAGATAATTAGTTATTAGTGGTACTGCATTTTAATTTTAGAAAGTGCAAATCCGCTTATGAATTATAAAAATTAGTGAGACAGCTAAATTGTAAACTAAATATTTAGTTCCGCAATTAGCGGATTTGCGCTTTAGCGGGCAGGTGCCCACCACTGCGACCCACACACATTTGAGCTGTATCAGGGATTGCAGCCCATGTAGACTGCGGCCCACGTATGCCACACTCTGCGCTGGCTTACGTACGCTGTCCAGGTAGGCTGCATAAAACAACTGTGGAAAAAAAACATCTAGTCTACAGATGAAGTATGTTTGTGAAAGAATGCGCTGCCCCGTTATCATAGTGATACGTTCTGTATCATATGGCTTCACTTGGAACTTGTATTCACACATCTTTAACAGGAGGTATGCATTCACAAATTAAGTATTATTAGAAAGAAATACTACAAGTAAATAAATAAAAATAATAAAGGTATTATGTGTTTTTCAGGCACATAGTTCAATTCCATACCACAAGCAAGTAACTATATTACTTATTATGAAAATGCTGTATATAACAAAAACAAATTTACCTCTGCATCATCTAAATGTGTAGAAAATGGCTTCTGTCTCTTAAAGAACCTCCGACCATTTCAGACACTCCCACTTCAGCACATCTTCACAACAATGCTTCATGGTAGGGGTGCTCTGTGGGGTGGGAGTTCCCCTACAGACTGAGCTCCAGGGAGGAGCTTTGTGTAAATAGGCGGAGCTTTGTACCAGCAAGTGTTTAGCCAGCTCTACATGACTACCACAGGAGATTCAAGGATTTCTCAAATWTGCATGAGTGAGTCAAAGCAACACTCTGGYTATGTTTTTGATGAGGAAATGACATATAAAACTCAAAAARGTTGATTTTGCATAATTTGCCTGCTTAAATGATTTGGGTTTAGCTTCAGTATAAGTACTTGTAATTGCATTTTATTTAACATCTCATTACAGCAAAGTTAATTGTAAACAAATTCTTCAGTCTGTGATGAATTTCCAAAATTTGCCATAAAAATAAATAAARATCTTAATTTTTTTCTGTTTAGTTTGCCGAGAGTGCAATGAATCCTGGGATGTCGTCGAATGCATAGGACACTCAGATTCAGTGTACTTTTTTGTCTGTTTTATCAGCTGCATGAGTAGGCGCCTACGAATTACGAATTGGGCTTCGACGTGGTGCAGTGACGCAATCGGCTGACAAATGTGTCCTATACGGGGGGCTGCAGATACCCCAATTCAAGATGATCGCCACAAATAATCAACTTTGCCAATAAACAAAAATGGCCATAGCTCTGTCACTTTTACAGATAGTGAGCTAATTTTGAGCGATCGTAGCTAAAAGTCGTCCTCAACATATTCTCTGAGCACCAACACATAAGATCACATTTTCACATATTGTTTGATAGTTTTAGACATCAAACTGACATATAGCCTCTGTATTAGATTTAAGTGGGCTGAGAAAACTAAAGTAATTGGTTAGAGTTGGGAAAACAACTATAGGCGTGCTTTGCAATTAGACCTGGTCTTCATTTGTTAAAGCTTTGAGAATTCTATCACGCYAATGTGATGAGTCTCGCTGTATCTGCAAATAACACTTTTATTAAACTGGAGTGTTTTGTAATTTCATCAGGGTATCACTGAAGGAGTCATGTGTTTCATATTCAAACTAGTGAACTGGCTGTGATTTTATCACCTTCGTCAGCAAATTTCAACCTTACTGTGGAAGAAAAGCTGTAGAAACATCATATTTTTTTCTGAAATCTTGAAATTGATAAAAAATTTAATTATATATATATATTCCATCCATCCATCCATTTTCTGTACACGCTTCTTCCTTTTCAGGGTTGTGTGCGTCACTGGTGCCCATATCCAGCAGTCACAGTGCGAGGGGCGGGGTACACCCTGGACAGGTCGCAAGTCCATCACAGAGATTATATATATATTTTTATTTCTAAAATGTTTTTCAGGGTAATCAAAAGTGCCGCTGGTTAAAGGTTTCAAATAAGGAAATCAATCAGCCAGGCGTTATTTGTTAAAATGTTTAGCCCCAGATAGCTAATATGAAACTATAATATGTTGAAAATCAGGTGCAGCACCAGAGGATCTGTGTGTTAATTGGTTATTTGATTAGTGTTTTATTATTGCAGCTGTGTACAACAAGGGGGAGATACGGTGTGGGTACAGGGTTTTATTTTATTTATTTTTTGTTGTTGTTAATTTCTTTTAAATCTAGACTCACTCTTCCACTTCAGGGATCCAGGGGGTTATTACACTGGCTTAGTTGTGACGCACATCATTCAGTCTCTTTCCGCCGGCTTAGAGAAAGTCTGTATTTCAAGAGTTTGAATGGTTATCTGCAGATTAGAAGGTCAACGTTTCAATCCCCAGTTTCCTTTTTCCACATCAAAATGTCCTTGGGCGAAACAGTGAAGGCCACTTTTTCTTTGATGCATTCATCAGTATGTTTATGTGACTGACTGCTTTTAATTTTGTTTAGACAGAAAAAGGTGAATAAATGTGTGAAGGGATATGTATTGTAAAAGTGTCATTTGCTTAAATAGCAAACAGAATTGGTTCTTTTCCCTCATAAGAAGTCAAGGACAGGACAGG